TCGCGGGAAATTTTGTTTATTTCTAAGTTTTCAATGGTTATTTGATAAAATAAAATATTCTTGACACCTCTTATTTCGAAGAACTTTTCATGTAGTTTTTTGATATGTAAATTTTATTTTTTATTTCAATACCAATATGTAAATAAAATGAATTGAAAAAGTTTGATATTTTGTCTTGGAAATACAAATGTGGCAAATATTTAGGGACGGAGGTAGTATTTGTGTGTACAAATATTTGTTGTCTGAGTATATTTATAACACGCTAGTGTACAAGTAATGTAGACATCAATGTGATCTACATGCATCTAGCATTACCCATTCTAGAAATGAGAAAAATTAAGTTGGTGATTTTAGTGTTATCGATTTATTTTGTATAATTGGATTTACTTAGATCGGACAAGAATTTAAATAGACGTTGTCAAACGAGTTAGGAGGCGCGGAGTGCGTGCTCGTTCAACGATATTACAAATTCATTGCGGGGGTCCGGAGGCGGCAGCCCCCGGGTAGCAGGGTCCAAGGGGCAGAACCCCTGGCCGGGGTCGAGCTGTTGTTTCTTTATGAAAATCCTTAAGATTTTCGTGACCGGAGTCCAAAACGGTAAAAGACTCGTACAAAGTGGATAACGTCGAAATAGAGCCTAAAACCGCAGGAGACCTTTCGTTCAAACTCGCGCCTTTTTTCTTCTTCGCGCGAACGTACGCGTACATCTACGCGAACGTGTTGGGAAAATCACCTCAATTTTCTAGCGGAAGCAATTAATAATTTTCCCGTCTTTGTGTTGTCAAAATGGGTAAAATCATATGACCGATCAAGAATAGCAAACACAACAACAAACAACCAATCAAGCGATAAACGAACACCAAAGTTTAACGTGGAAACCCCAAATCGGGAAAAAAACCACGAAGCCTTCCACTAATCACCAATTAAATCAGTGGGTACACCAAGAATTCTCTCTAAATCAATTAGAGGTATACACAATCATCAAGTAATAACTTAGACCACCAAACAATAATAATCTTCACTGAAAAGTGAGAAATCCCCAATAAAAATGCAGCAGTAAACAGAGGCAGTTTTACCGTCATCGAGAGGTCAAAACAATAATCCCACCGTTGGATATGAAGAAGAGGATGTGAGGAACAACATACTAAAATTTCATCCCGATCGGAGCTCGTTTGGTCGTCGATCGGAGCACAAAACCAGGCTGCACCGCTCTTTTTCTCTCTTCTTCCTTCTCTCGGCTCTCTCTAGTTTTCCTCTCTGTTTCCTGCGCTGTTCGGCTTCAGTTCTGCCCGTGAGAAGCCAAAACAAAAGGCTTTTTTGCCTTTTCTACAAAGTGGCAGCCCCACTACTTTGACCCTTTCTTTCCTTATAATAATAATACTAAATATTACTACCTCCGTCCCATTGTCTTTGTCCAGTTTTGACTTTTGGAACTGTTCATCTAAGCACTGACTCATCAAATTCTCTCAATGTGTAAGCCTAAAAATAGTTATGTGTGATCTTGTTTGATTTGTCTTAACATATAGATTATTAATATATAATTTTTATAATTTTTTAATATACAAATTACAAGATAAAATGGATTAAAGAAGTGCATTGGATGGTGTGCCAAAAGGTAAGTGGACAAAGACAGTGGGACGGAGGGAGTATTATTATTATATTACTCCACCTCTAAACAAATTACATTTTTAACACTAAGGGGCTGTTTGTTTCAGCCTCTTAATGGTTCAGATGTCTGAATGGTTCAGCACTTAATGGTTCAGACTGTTTGTTTCATCCTTTTAATGGTTCAGATGTCTGAATGGTTAAAAGATTTGCCTCTGAATGGTTAAGTATTATACAGAGTCTGAATGGTTAAGACCTCTTATCTGAATTGATCAGACATTTGCCTCTGAATAGTTAAGCAATATACTAGCTCTTAATGGTTCAGACCTCTTACTAGTTCAGCACTTAATGGTTCAGACCTCTTACTAGTTCAGCACTTACCGATTCAGAAGTTGCCAAACAGCCCCTAAATGTATTGTTTAGGAACTCCTTCCTCCATGTAGGAGGGATACCCCAACAGAACGTTCATGTCCGATCATGAGGATTTTCGACTCTATAAAATAGAGTCTCGTGGTATGGGTTGAGACAGATTTTCGAGTGCTTGTTTTTAATTAACGTCATATCCGATTGAAGTATTTCGTATACCCCGAAATTGTTTTGATTTGAAAGCGTTTCATACGCGATTCGTTATACTATCGAGTTCTTCTTTAATACTCCTTCGCAGTGTTCTTCTCTAAACAATTCCAACAAATTATGTGGCAATTTATCCTTATGCGGAGTACTATAATAGATTATAAACTTCCTGTTTCATCCATTCTGAAATAGTCGTTTCATTTTTTTAGAATGTTCCAAAATTAATATTTCACTTTCTTACATACTTTCGTTAATCTTAATGAAGTAAATATTATTCGGGATGCGCAAAGAGAGTATCTTATACCCTCTGTCCTTGAATTAAATTTCCGTTGCGTTTTACGATGTTGGACTTAATTTATTTTTAATTCAACATATAGGGGAATTGGTAAATAATTTGAAAATAAAATTTATATATTTAAAAACTATATCAAAAGTTCTACAAACCTCATATTTTTTTAATAAAAAAATCACATATATCAGCTGATACGGTATCGTATCGGGATAGGAAAGAACTTCGAGCGTTCTTCAAGCTCCAAGAGAAAAAGAGACGAGAAGAGGGAGAGAACCGCGAATCTTTGTTCGGCGGAAGAAAAGAACGAGAGATAAGAGGAAGATATTAGGGTTTAGGAGAAAGTATTTTCTTTATTGATTGATTGATAAAACTATGGTGATGGATACATTTATAGGCTCCAACTCTAGAAAACCTCAATAATAAATGATAACTAAATAATTAAGAATCCTAATTATAAAAGGTAACTATGGTGATGGATACATTTATAGGCTCCAACTCTAGAAAACCTCAATAATAAATGATAACTAAATAATTAAGAATCCTAATTATAAAAGGTAACTAAATAAATTAAAATACTAATAACCTAATATAATAATACTTCCTAATAATAATATAATTATCTAACCATAAATAATGATAATAGTAATATAATAATAATGATAAATAACTAAATAGAGTCTTGTATCATCAGCTTTAAAAAGTGGATAAAATTAGATTCAGTAAATAGTGAATAATTTTAGCAGAGGGAGCATAGTTTTTGGAAGAAATGCTCAGTTGCTCACATTTACGTAGAATAATGATCACTCCATATTTCATTTTGTTAGCATCTACTCCGTATTATTTTACCCATTTTTTGTAAACAAAGTTCATTTGTGTGAAATTGATTGTTTCAGTGTTTCACTATTTTTTATTCGAAAAATTTGAAAAACAAAACGAAGAAAAAGAAATACAATACTTCCTACATCAAGTAAAAGTTTTCCTATTTTGACTTTTGGATAATTTAATAAGAAAAGTATATTTTGGTGTTTGATCTTCTACAAATGTCCTTAGGGTTATTTTTTTTTAAAGTGATGTTTCACATGAATGAGTAGTTATAAACTTTTTCAAAAAAAAAAGTTAAGAAGAATGGAAAGGAGTAATTAAAAAAAAGTAAGATAAGATGTGATGTAAGAGATGTGAGAAAGTAGGTTTAAAGAGGGGTATTTTAGTCCACTTTAGGGAAATTGATATATTTTTTGCGATGGTTAAGAAGAGAAAGTTGAAATGTTTTGTGGGACACAGAGAATATTTGTCTTTGGTGTTAAAAAACATGTACTACCTCCGTCCTTGAGTATATTTGTCTAGCTTTGACTTTTTTTGAACTGTTGTTTATCTATGATCTATAATTAAACAAAATATATATTGTATTTTAATCAGATAAAATAATATTTTAGAAATATTTCATATAATAAATCTAATAAAACTATTTTTGTATCAATATCTAATATTATCTTTATTTAATTTGAGGTCAAAATTTCTCAATTTTGACTAAAAAAGCCAAAAGTGAACAAATACACAGAAACGGGAGGAGTAGAAAAAGTAGACTATAATATAGTGAGAGATGAAAGAAAATTGTTTTCCTTTATTTTGGTTAATAAAAACTATAAAATGACAAAAATCTTTTATCTTTTTCTTTCTTTCACAAATCACAATTCTATGAATCCGACATAGCTTTAGGGAATGTTCATTTTCAGTTCTATCTTGATATACAATATTATTTCCTCATAAAATATTTGTCCATTTCAATTTTTCCAATCAAATTAATTAGACAACATTGATCCTCTATTAAATAAAATTTGTATAAGATTTTAAGTACGAAAATGATTTAATTAGATTATCTTGCAGAAACTATCGAAAATTTATTTTATTATATTACGGAGTAATACACAATGCAAGTTTAATGCAATTGATGGTTAAAAACTTAAAACTAGTCAAATTTGACTTAAACGAATCAAACTGGAAGAATACTCGAGACGTATGAAATATTTTTTAAGAAATCTCCTTGGATAGGAGTAAAAAAATATGAAAATACCAAAATATGAGTTTTAAGTCTTTTAAGACCAAAATAGAAGTATAATGGCAGTGTGGTGTAAAAATACGCATGGGCAGTGTGATGAAAAAGTGATGAAAGTGTAACGTATCAGTCAATATGCGTGTAAAAATACGTGTGGGTTCGATATCAGTCAATCATCGGCGATTCGCGGCAGCACTCTGGTCGCCGGAGGCGAGAGATGATGGTGTGTCAGTGATGCTGTGACACTTACAATGTGATAATGTAGTAAGTGTGTCAGTGTAACAATGACAGTTAAACATCTTATTTTGGTTTTAAAAGACTACTTATAACTCATATTTTGGTATTTTCTGAGTCTTTTTGCTCCAATTTAGGGAGTTCTCTCAAATTTCATTAAATCTTGATATACACCCTCTGTTCTTGAAAACACTTTGCATTTTAACTAAGTGCCAAAATAAGGAAGTATTAAATTGTAGCTGACTTCCAATTTTACCCTTGATGTGATGGGTAAAAGTAAGAGGTGATGGATATATTATTAGATCAGAGAAAAAGTATGATGTGATAGGTAGAATAAGAAAAAGTAGGGGTAAAAGTGGTTTTTAATAGAAAATGGAAGTGTTTTGGTGGAAGAGAAAAAAATGAAAGAATAAGTGTTTTTTCAAATGGAGGGAGTACAATATAGGGAAATAGATTTGATTAAACTAGGAGTAAAACATAGAAATTGTACTAACATAAGATCTCCATGGTTTTATTCTCAAAAAATAGGAGTTACAAAGCCAAGAATGTCAACATATAATATCAAAATCATTGTGTATTGCCAAAATACGGTGTCACATTGTCATAGTGCAAACTCCTGTTTTAACAATAAAAAACATGAAACTCTTATTTTAATATTTTATTTATTTTTACTCATATTTTGAGTGATTTTTTTAAAATATACTTCACTATTCCGGAACAAACTTTATATTTTGAGATCACAATGTTTTAAAAAATAGTGTTGAAAGCAAAAAACACATGCATGTACTTGAAATTTGTTTGTTTGAGCGAAAAATGAGAATTAGGATCATTTTGATGAGTTTTGGAGGTATGGTGTGATATGAGTTTTGAAATTTAAAAGATATGATATGGGCTCTTACAACAACAACAACAACAACAACCCAGTTGAGTCCCACTACAGTAGGGTCTGGGAAGGGTGTGTGTACGCAGACCTTGCCCCTACTCGGAAGTAGGGAGGCTGTTTCCAAGAGACCCCCGGCTCAACCTGCACAAAATATGGAAGGGAACACAGTATAACACTGATAAAGCACCAAGTACAATGAAATGAAAGTCCTGCAAGCAATAGCAGAAGATTCCAATCAAACACAACACACTACAAAACAACCTCTACAGCCTTGAGCTCCTATCCAGCTACTCTAATCCTAGTTCTCCAAAGATTCCTATCTAAGGCCATATCCTAGGTGAGAAGTCATATATCCTACCTAATCACCTCCTTCCAATTCTTCCTAGGTCTACCCCTTCCCCTACTTCCCCGATAACCGTAATCCTCTCGCATCTCCGTACAGGGACGTCAGCATCCCGCCGTCTCACATGACCAAACCATCTCAACCTCGCTTCCCGCAACTTATCTTCCACCGGCGCCATGCCTACCTGACGTCGGATAAGTTCGTTCGAAATCCTATCCAACCTTGTCTTCCGACACATCCATCGTAACATCCGCATCTCCGCCGCATGCAAATGACCCACATGAGTCTTCTTAACCGCCCAACACTCTGCCCCATATAACATAGCATGTCTGACTACGGATCGGTAGAACTTACCTTTCATCCTGGGCGAAATGTTCGGATCACACAACACCCCTGAAGTTAACCGCCATTTGGCCCAAGCCACTCCAACATGATGTCCAACATCCCCGTCTAACTCCCCATCAGCCTGGATTACCGAGCCAAGATATTGAAACATGTCTACCTTAGGTACTAGGTGAGAGTCAATCCTAACTTCCACTTCTCATTTTGTTTCCCGGCTGCTGAAACGACATTCCATGTATTCAGTCTTGTTCCTACTTATTCGGAATCATTTAGTCTCAAGGGCAAGGCGCCATAGTTCCAACTTATCGTTTAGTCCCTCACGTGTGTCGTCGATAAGCACAATATCATCCGCGAAAAGCATGCACCATGGGACCCCTTCTTGAACACCTTGAGTTAGGACGTCCATCACCAAGGCGAACAAAAAAGGGCTAAGGGCAGACCCCTCGTGCAACCACATCCCTACCGAGAATGGCTCAGAGTCACCCTTGGAAGTCCTTACCCTGGTCATAGCCCCATTGTACATATCCTTGATCGCGCGAGTGTACACGATGGGAACTCCTCTCGTCTCAAGGCACCTCCATAAGACCTCCCTTGGCACCCACTACAAAAAAAGTGGGCATTACCGACAGATCCTTAGTGACAGAAATCTTATTTGTCGCTAAAAAGAGAATATTACGGACATATAAAATTATTTGAAGGTAAAAACTATTTGATCCACAGAAAGGGTAATATCTGTCGCTATAGGTTATCGTTTTAGCAACAAAATTTTATCTGTCGGTATTGCTTATAGTTTTAGCGACAAAACTTTATCTGTTAGTATTGTTAATAGTATTAGCAACGAAAAACATATCTGTCGATATTGTTTAATGTATTAGAAACAAATATTTTTATGTCGGTATTGTTTATAGTTTTAGAAACAAAGTTTTATCTGTCGATATTGATTTTATTAATATTAAAATTTAATTTAAATATCTTAATTTAAAGCTAAAAAACTGTAAATAAGTAAGAAAAACCCAAAAATACAAAAGTGCAAAATAAATGATCTAAAAAGCAAGATTTTGGGTTGAAGATGGATCCCGTGGGTCTTTGACCGAACGGGCCCCTGTGTGTCTCGTCGTGACCTTTCCGTAAAGGTGTAGACGACTGAAATCGGACACCCATAGGCAAAGTTATGGCCCAAACAGTGTGGTAGCTCAAAATGTTTCAATTTCCTGTCAGCCTTGTGTTTATTTTTTGGTTCATGGTAAAACAAATACTTGATTAATTAGTCGGCTTCGAAAGTTCATCCTTATCCGAATCATCTACTCGTGCATCAGGTGTGGGTTTTGGTAATCAGTAATTCAATGAACTGATAATAATAATAATAATAATAATAATAATAATAATAATAATAATAGTAATAATAATAATAATAATAATAATATTATTAATAATAATAATAATAATAATAATAATAATAATAAAACAAAAACCTAATTGTATAAACATACATTCAAATTGCCCAATTCTAATCTCCTAAAACTGCCGGCCACAGAGACTCATCGATCGAGAACAGGACATCGTCATTGCGGAAGCTCGGAACTCCTCTGGGACGCGGCCGGAAGTTCGGAACTCCTCTTAGTCTCTTTCATCTGAGCGTGTTCTTCAATCGTCACACCCTAATCAGGGATGTCGGCTACACTTCCTCACCTTCTTCGTCTTAGCAACAGTGTTTCCAAAGAACCTGTAAAATCTATTCCATGGAGACAATTTTTGTCCAAACCACCTATGAGCAGACACTTACGGCTAGGGTGGGGGCCGGGGTGTTACATGCTGTGTTAACTACACACTTGAAGCATCTCACTTTGATCAATCTTGAAAAGATTGAATTCCACTCTTTGTATCAAAATACTAAAACCACAATTCTTTATTAAACCAAAGATGCTTTATGATACCGATCTTCAAAAACTATACTCTGTGAACTACGTGACTCGATTTCAATGGTAAAAGCACTCTGACTAGAATATTATGTTGAACCTCTCTTTGTGGACCACAAAACGATCGATGCGATTGCGTTATCTCTGAAGATTATTATCGATGATCTTATTGACCAAACAAACTCCGTTATGACCATAGCAAGGGAATGTATGTGCAAGAACTAGAGAAGAAATGGTGTCACAAGGATCAAATTGAATCATTCAAACGAAAATCTTGAACCTATATACGATGTTGGTGTAAGAACTCGTAAGATTCCTTACCCTATGAATCCGTGAATAAAATCACATACTGAAGATATTCTCTTCTTCTCTCAAAATGAAACCAACCATAGTGTTACAAACAAAACTGTCACTATCATATCCTGGTATACTTTCAAATCAATGAAAGAAAGTTGAAAACGACAAGACGTATATGAGACGCCACTTGAACGTAGACCTGGCAAAATAGAACCAGAACCGATTACCCGAACTGAAATATCCAAAACCGAAACCGAAATGACCCGAAAAATGAAGATCAGATCTATAACTGAAAACTCGAAATGATCCGAATCGAACCGAAACCAAGCTAAATAATTAATATCCGACTTAAATCCGAAATCGATTAGATCTGAAACCGATAATATCCGAACTGATTAAATCTGAAACCGATTAGATCTGAAATCGATAATACCCGAAACTAATAAAACCCGAAACCGATAATATCCGAACCCGATTAGAACTAAAATCAATAATTCGGAACTATGTTTGCCTTTCTATAAGCATATTATATTTTAAATTTTTACTTTTATTTTACCATTTGAACTAATTACATTACTTGCTCATTCCGTCATAAAATGGACTACCTTCTTGAAAAAAAAGTATAAAATTCCATGCCTTAAATTTATTATATGTAGAAATTAAAGATAAGTTATACATATAAATGATAACGCACAAACAAATAAAATTTTCATAATATTTAAATAGTGAAGTGTGATATTCTTTTTGGGACGAAAGGATAATATGATTTGAGATTTAATTTGATTAGTTTCAAATCAATTCACTCAATATTCGGCAATAAAAGTAGATGCTAGTGTTAGAATTTTGAAAAGACTCTCTAGCGTCAGCATTTAGTGTTATTATTTTTAAATTTGATCTACACCATTACATTTAGGTGTAAAATTAATTATATTTGACTCTATTAAATTTAATTTTATCTATTTTCAACCAAATACACTCAATAATTTATAAATTTTGCTCTCAATTGAATAAAATTCACTTAATTTTGCCCAATTTTACTCAATTTTTACCAAATTGTATTCAAATGGAACATAACACTATTTAAATTTATCTTTTATCTTTTCATTTATAAACATAAGTATATTAGTAGATGTGAGAAAAATTTGATATTTCAAAACTAAATTTTAGAATCAATTTAATTATATTAAATTTATACCATAATTAAATATACATATGTTTTCATAATTTGTAGTCCAAATTTGTAAAATATGACTAAAAAGTCAAAAAGGGAAGATTATTTATGCTAGAGATAATATAATTAGAAAAACATATAAAACAATATGAGGTATTGAATTGATGATAGATTGATAAATGTGATATAACATAAAAAGAAACATGGATAGTTAAATTTTAATGAGAAAATAATATATATCTAAAATATATTTGATCTGAAACCGAAATATATCCGAACCGAACTAGACCCGAAACTGAGATATATCCGACTCAAATTGTATCCAAACCGAAATCTATCCGAACCGACTCGAAACCGAATCGAACTGAAAAATGTATAGAACTGAATCAAATCCGAACCGAAATTTAATCGATCCGATCCGATCCGAACGGAACCGATTATAACATATAACCGAAAGATATCCGAACTGAAAAAATCCAACCCGAAACCGAGCCGGTTGACCCGATTGCCACCTCTACTTGAACGTCATCACGTATGAATACGAATTAATACTAAGACTCATTAACGATAATGAGGGCTACCGTGAAGTGAACGAAGAAATGTTTCGACGTAAGATCAATGATGACAAGCTACTGTACAATCAATCGACAGTACTTTCTCATAAATAATGACAAACCCCATATTCTGAAAATCACGAACCGATGAAAGCCATTTGATGATATCTATGAGTCATTGCTGAACTATGTGAACGATGCGAAAATGTTTTGGATGAATTAGAAGATTACGCTGTGACGTATGAATTGAAACAAACTTTAAATTCCCAACTATACCTACCGTGAAGATGATGCTTTGAAACTACAAATGCCATTGAAGAACTTTCAATCAAAGTAAGAATGTTGTCGACTAATGAAGTACAATTGAGATTTGTGAATGAATGAAATTATAAGCAAATATGACAAGTATGCTCCAAAAATGTGATGTTTTGCAAAGGAACCTTAGTTATGGATGATGAATCCAAACGGGAACCCGCAAAAACGATACCTTGCTTAATCTAACATTGTTAACCTTTTGAAGAAAGAACAAGTTTGATAACATCGATAGTTTGAGAATACGTACCTGTGTGGATAATGACATAATTATGGTTTAACCGAATAAACATGACACAGCCATGATTAAGTGAGATAGCAACCAAATGTTGAACGTTGAGCCTTAGAAAAATTTCGAGGACGAAATTCCTTTAAGGGGGGAAAAATGTAACGCCCAAAAATATACCCTAAAAGTTATATTGAATTATTATTCAAATAAACAAATTTGTTTAGATTAAAATAAATTATTATTGGGCTTTGGGCCGAAATGATATACTCCCTCCGTCCTAAAACTTTCTTCCCAGAGCACTATTCCAACTTCACGTGAATTTATATTTATTTGTATTTTTTCATGGCCTATATGATAAAATAAAATATTCTTGTCACCACTTGTTTTATTGAACTTTTGATGTAGTTTTTAAATATGTATGTTTTATTTTTTATTTCTATACCAATATTTAAATAAAATAGATTGAAAAAACTTGGGATTTTTCTTCGTTTTGCGCAACGGGAAGAAAGATATAAGACGAAGGGAGTATGTGTATATATATATATATAAATATATATATATATACATATATATATATATATCGGATATATATATATCGGATATATATTTGGTAATCGGGACTTAGTAGATTTGGAACCAGTACAAATTGGTGTGTTCTTATTTTACACATTTAATTCTGCATTTTATTTATTCCTTCTGCGTTTACCAACACCAATTTCATTAAACTCCGAAAAAGTTTTTAAATGCCTTATTCACCCCCCCACCCCCCTCTCTAAGGCGTTGGAACATTGACTAAGAATATTGACTTTAAAAACCATAATGAATGGGAATTATATTACGCCATTATATTGATAAGGCCATTGTGACTACGATTCTAAAAAACTACATTACATGCCTGAGACATTGTGTATATGAACAATAACTAATGGGAGTGGTTGGTTTGCTTACTGAAAGAGGTGTTGTGGTAATACCTTGTTTTCGAGAACCATTCATAATCTATACTCTCACTATTCTAAAAATAACTTGACGTTGTGGTTTACGGTGTTTGTATAAATTTAAAAATAACTTTTGTTGGGAAAAATTATAGATTTTGATGATGATGTATTTAGATTGTATTAGGTACTCTAGGTCTCCCCCATTATTCAATGTAATTTTCTTTTTAGAAATATTGTTAAAACCAAGTTCTTGAGATTTCAAATAAAACTTGTGATATTTTATTTTGAGTTTGTACT